TTAAATTAAAATTTTATTATATTTACGTAGACCGACGAGTTGAGTTGTCAACTAAGACTGTACCAAATATTACTTCATTTTTACAAGTCTTGCCTAAGACGTTTGCCAAATAATGAGTTTAGAGTAATTTTGCTAATGAGAGTCATTTATCATTACAAAAAGGAATGCACAATAACATATGAAGGGGTAATCAAACAAAGTAGTGCAACAGTTAACGCTTTGAATACAACACTTACAACTATAACACCTGTTCTTTTGATAGAAAAATATATAAGTACCATTTAGATTACTTAGGACTACTTATTTGTGTTAGCTTTGTGTTGGCTGGGGCAGCAGTAATAACTTAAGTCTATTTTTAAAGGAAAAAAGGTAAGGTACAAAAGATTTAATAATACTTCTTTTTGCATATTCAGGCAGAATGCACGTTTTCAAGGAAATATAAAATTTCTTTTTTCTTTATATAGGTAGCTGATTGATAGGTAGATGTGGCCGTTTCCTTGCGCGTCTCAGAGAAACCAAACACTGAGTAAAACAATCCTGTCCTCTGAGACAGCGATTCTCGCTTCGTTGTGTATTACCTTTTATTATGTTTTCATTTTACTATTCAGTTTTCAGAAGGGTGAAGACGTACCGACATATTAGCCTTTAAGACTAGAATTCTAACGCGAAAAATTGATTTTGATTTTTTATTTAAGGTGGCCCGAAACTATTGATATGCGTGTTGGTTATGTTTTTGATTTGCGTTTTTTAGAATGAAAGATTCACCCGATTTCTACGATTTTGGGAATCCTTAATAAATAATAATGGAACTTTAAGAAAATGTTATTTATTTTCCTGTGCGTGTAAGGACCTTTGAGATATCGGCATATATTTAGGTAGGAACATCCTTTCAGGTATAGGAGATAGTCTGTCGGCACTTTACCTCTATTCGTGTGTCAACTTTCACAGATGTGTTAGCGTAGCACTTTAAGGTTAAATTTGACCAACATTTTGTGCACCGAGTTCTACGGCCACGAGCCGTCAAACTTGCAGATGTAAAACTAGAGAGCACTGAGGCTTATTAGCTGAAGTTAGGGAAAAATCTGTCGTGGGATTTCGAAGTTATTTCCATTTTTCGTAAAAATGCGGTTTTAAATATATGCCGATATCTCAAAGGTTCTTATACCTACAATAAAATAAATAACATTTTCTTAAAGTTCCATTATTCTTTATTAAGGATGCCAAAAATTATAGAAATCGGTTGAATCTTTCATTTTGAAAAACGCAAATCAAAAGCATAACAAACACGCATATAAATAGGCTCGGGCCACCTTAACTACCTGGTGCGCTACTGTTTTGCAAGATTTTGGGGGTAACCAATCATTACTCACATGAAGGCATATTATGAATTCTGACATGAAAAAGAAATTTATCAAACAGGCCGGGAACCGACCATGGAATGATGCTAAATTATTAATTATTTTGCTGAGTACATTTCACCAATGTACGACTTATTAATTGGTCCTGTGGTTTAATGCCAATGCAGTGCTCTGTAATTAGACTACGAGCAGTCTCTCTTTTTTCTGTAGTCCGTCGAGCAAAACGCGAGAAACGCAAATGGCCACGCGCGTGAATGATGGCGCGAGACGGGAGAGGCACGAAAAAAGAGAGACTACCCGCAAAGCCAGAGAGAATGGTCTTTCACGGTCTAGTGATTTTTTGGCGTCAAAACTAAAGTGTTGACAGGCCAGGCACGTGAAACGTGACTTTAGAGTTTGCTTGAACAACAGAGGTTTTTCTTCTTTTCTTTTTAAAGCGCAGCTTATGCAGTGCATAGAGTTAGAGTCGATTCTAATTGACGGAGCAAATCTTAATTTTGGCCGCTGGTCTCACATTTAGAGGTCATGAAGCTGGTCTATTTCTTTTATATGAATAATTCATTTCCTGTGCCTTATGTTTTGAATGAGATCACCCGTGGCCTAGTTTTTGTTTGCAGGATGTTGAATTTTCACGGGACAGTGTTCTACATATCCTAATTGTAGCTTAACTAAAGCTAAGCCAACGCTGCAAGTCACTCAAGATCATTCTTTGGGCGCCGATTCGATTTGTTTTTTCTTTCTTTCTTGAGAATCTTTGTTCTTTAGCGCGATGTTCTGTAGTGTATCCTTTGGTAATTACTATTGTTTTAGCTTTATAAAATGAACAGTCTAATGCTACTTTCTGTTTTAATTTCCAAAGTAAGACAACCGTTTTGGAACGAAAGCGTTCCTTGACAGTGAAGAAAGGCTTTGAGCATTTAAATTGCGCGATCACGTCACGTACCGGGAGAGATGAGACCTTCTTATGCTTCTCTTTGCTCCGTATCTAATGTTTTTTTTTTTTTCGGGAAACGTGACAAACTTTCCTGCAGTGCTTCAGCCACCATCCACTTGTCAATGGTTTCGATTGTTGACAGCTTGTTGTCAACGTCTCACAAATCAGCCAATCGTATTTTGCGTTGTGAGGCCAACGCTTAATTCATTGGCTCTGGCTAAGCGGGCAGTCTCTCTTTTTTCTTCTCGGGCTGCCGCCCTCGTTTCGCGCGTCTCGCGGCTTCGCCGCTCCCGCGCGCGTGCATTGCTCCCACTAAATCTGAAGAAAAAGAGAGACTGCTCGCAGTCTACTCCGTAATTGGCGATGTTTGCCTTTTAGCGCTTACATGTATGTACGTAACTAAATTGCCTGATATTCTTTTAAATTTTAGAGTGCAAGTTTTCACCCGAAATATTTTGGCAATAAAACATTTGTCGCAAAATATTACGGAAATATCAACCAGCCCTGGCGGCATGACTTTTCTTTGTCGATTTTTTGTTCTTGTTTTTTTAAAGAAAAATTACACCGAAATATGAAACTCAAACAAGCCTTCAAGGATTAGCTCATTCTGCGTTATAATTATAAGTGATCTTTCTGTGCTTGCTCAGTTGGAAGTCAAGTTTTTCTTTTCACGTTTTTCTTCCTACTGATTTCGATTAATTTTTGCCAATGTTTGGAACTTTTCTGGCATAATAGAATCCAGGATTACGAAATTGCACGTCAAACTGACAGACATCTAACTAGTTATAGCAATCGCTTGTGCCAAGGAGCAAAGATTTTACCTATACACGCGCGCTGTTCAGTTTGTTTAGAAATGTCAGGAATTACCGTAATTTACGAAAAATACTTTGAACTCGATTGCATAAGCCAAAATCATCTTGAGGATAGTGAACTAAACTGTTCTACTGCATAAAGAATTTGATATCCCAACTTTACATAACAAATTCTTCGGAACCATTGAAATTCGCGTTTTAGTGGGAGGTTACGCGCGGTCACTTTGTTCAAAGTTTTAAGTTGTTTTTTAACGCACTTATAATCCTCAAAAAAATCTGAAGTCCGGGAATATTCAACTTGGTCTCTTTTTAAAGCTTAGGAAGTCTACTTTCCATTTAAAAAAAAGAAAAACAGATTTATGGTGCACCTATGAAGCCTTCCGAATTTAATTTTTGTTCTAAAACACAGTAATTTTTTCGGCCGGCGTTGTAATTTTTTCCTAGCGGCGGACAACCAGTGTCTTTGTGAAAAATAGTTTGAACTCAATTCGATTGCAAAATCGAAAATTACCTTGAAAATAGTGAAATAAATTGTTCTACTGCATAAAGAATTTGTTAATCCCGACTTTACATTGCATATTTTTCACGAATATTTAACGTGCAGATTTATATTTGGTCTCTTTTTAAAGCTCAGGAAGTATACTTTTCAGGAAAAAAAGAGTTGTGGTGCTCCGATGAAGCCTTCGGAATTATTTTGATTCAAAGACACAATAAATTTTGCGCCGTTATTATCTTTTCTTAGCGGCATAAACGGACAGTGTATTTGCAAAATAAAATTTTTAAACTATTACCTTGAAAATTGTGAACTTAACTGTTCTACTGCATAAAGAATTTGAAATACTGACTTTACATAAGATATTTTTCTTACATTCTCTTTTCTGTATTACGTCATAAAAGTTACCTTACACTACCTTATGTTACGTCGCTTCGAGATTCATTCTGCCTTCAGGAACTTTCGCGCACGGTTTTATCATGCTGCCGCCTCGCAGCCTCACGTCTTACTCATCTTGAGGCTGCTCGTTGGCAATAATTCAAAAAGCTATTTATTTATTGCCAACGAGCAGATTTCAATTTTTTCCTTGCATTTTATTATTTTGCAACTTCATTTTTACATTTCTACACCTAGAACTGATCATTACTTCCGGCAAGAGAATCTTCTTCACTAAATAGCCATTTTTCTCATTCCTCAAGGTTTCTGTCGTTCAGTAGAAAAAAAAATATATAGTGTTTTGTAAGAATAACCAAGGGCAAGAGGAGAAAGCGATAATATAACTGAAAGATTGCCATTAACTAAGATCAGTACTTGGAAAAAATAAACAACAACAAACACATGTACGAACCTTTTCAGCTGACAGGTTGCGGTCATTTTAATTTCGAGGAGTTTGGGAAAATGTTGAAGTATTTTGAGTACCAAAGATCCGTCGTAAATTTTAAGCTCGGTGAAGAAATGAGAAATGATGTGATCAACATGTCATGAACACGGGACAAAGAAAAAAAATCCGAGCCTTGACAGGAATAATAGGTCAGAATTCCCTTCGGAGAACTTTTCTCGAGCAATGTTGAACCTGTACATGTATTGATTCTGGTTATTTTACTATATATATTCATAGATAAAAACATGCTTAAGACGTTGATCGATGTGAAGTTCTTGTGGCATTTTTTTGTTCTGGATATGTTTTTTTTACGCAGAAGTTAGGATGTTCAATCGGCTTGGCAAAACGTGCGTTTTTTTCCCACATTTTCTATGGAGCTCCACTACCAGACTGAGATGAGGGTTTATGAGGGCTACTTGTTGAGGTAGTAACAGTTGCATTGGAAGTTGACAGCTGGTTATTCCGTCGTTTTCCTTTCTTTTTTTTTTATTTTCAATTTAACAGGCAGTCAAGAAATAAAATCATGTCACTGTACACTGATTCCATGTCAGCCCAGATTGGAATTACCACAATGTTTGCAATACTTGTGGCTGCAGATCTTGTCGGGAATACTATTGTATGCTTGATTATAATTGTCTTTCATGACATGAGGTAAGGGCTCTATTTTGTAATATTTCGATTGCTTGGTTATCTTATATCTTTTAACAGAGCTAAGATGAATAATTTCCACATTTTCATAAATTTTGTTGCTATAATATTCAAAAATGAAAAGAAAACTGACGAACTTCGAAATTACCATTTCAGGAGTGAGTTCCTGTTAAGTAACACCCGAATCACCTACGCAGCGTTAAGAGTTAGGAAACAATCATGCTATGCCCGAAGATGCAGTATTGCGATTACCAAATGACATAACACAACAGGCAATATGCACACTACAAGACACATTACAAACGATTGTTTCCGTCAGACAATCCCCCCCCACCCCCCTGTCCAGCTCGAGGGAGAGGTGAATAGTTTCTTACGCTAATTGTACCGACCCTGAGGGCATTAGTTGTTAGTTACAGTTTTTTCCCTTTACTTCGTGCGAAGACGCACTGGCTAAGGCAGGAATCGCGAGATTAAAGCAACGTCGTTAAGATGCTTGTGTTGGTTGTGTAAAAATAGTTAGTCCTGATAACCCAGTCTTCCCTTTATTAAAAGCAGAATTGTTCACTCATCTTCAACTTATTGTACACGTTCAAATTGATCACTTACAACCCTACCATCTAATACTAATCGTTTCGCGAATTTTGTAACCGTAAAATATGCCACCGTTAGGATCCTCATTATGTATTGTTTATAACTGACCTGTACCTGCAATTCAGTTCAAAGCTATAAAAGGTGTTAATAAACAAGTCATTCATTGATTCATTCATTCATTCTATCAATATTTACCAATGGATAGAAAGCAATTGTTTGTAAGTAAAACCAGTTAGTAAAAGCTTTGATTATGTTTTTTGATAGTGTTTCGGGGATTTTGTTAAGTGAGATCAGTTCGGATCTAATTTTGTTGCAAATTTAGTAAAAAAACGAATTCTTTCTGTCACTAAACCGACTTACAAGTCAAAGTTTTTGTCCTTCAGTCTTTTGGCATTTGTCGGGTACAACTGCTTCATTTATCGCTAACTAAAATTTGGTCTTCCGAAACCGTGGGAAAAAAGATTCCATTCACTTTCTCTCTGATAACAGTGAATAGATAGCCGTGGATATCCCAAACTCAAAATCCAGGCTTTCAGATTGTGTGGGGATGGCGCCTAAGTGAAAGACACTCGAAAAGGGGGCGGTCATGTTCGCGATTTCTAAATTTCGCGGACCCGAGTATCTCAGGGCCTGGAACAGGCTAGAACCCAAACAAAACGCTGCAAATCTTCTTTCCACTGATTTGATAAACACTAGACCATATATTGAGACTACAAAATGTATGTTCTCTTTATAATAGAACGCCAATGAACTTCTTGCTTCTCAATTTGGCTGTGGCGGACATGATGGTTGCTCTCTTTATCACGCCACGTTTTATTCTGAGTCACTTTTTTACGCACCCTGATGGAAAGACCGGTACTTTGTTCTGTAAGCTGCTGACAGGTGGGAATTTTACTTTGACGGGCGGGGCTGCTTCTGTGTTCACCTTAGTTGCCATCGCTTTTGAAAGATACTATGCAGTGATGTATCCGTATGGCAATAAAGGAAAGTTGACCTACAACAAGCTGATGGTGATCGAAACTGAATGTGTATGAATGAGAGCGCATGTCATGAGTTAACCTAAACTGCTGGAAAAAACTGGCTATCTTTATTCTCCTGCGATGAAAAGGGGATAAGAATTCCTCTTCCCCCAGCAGCTTCTTGAACACTGAGGAAGAAGACCCTCACGCCTTGTTAATGTTACCCCAGGTGGTTTGATAACTGCAGTTTAATGATCTCACGCAATAGCAATTACGTCATAGCTTCACCACCATTCACATGCATGCAACTTTTGGCAATTTTTCCCGCTTGTACTTGCCCGTTACCATTTTTTTTTTAAAGTAGCCATTTTCCGCACAAAACTGTCATCAAATTTACCAAATTCAGCAAGAAACAGGCCCGTGGGGGACTCCGCCTATGAGAGGGGTGGGGATGCTGATCGGAAATTTTGAATCAAACCCCTAAAGGAGACCGATCTGGGCGTGGCCCAAGCTTTTTTGGACCCCTAAAAGAGACCATGTTAAAACACAGACAAATGAGAGAAGACTTGGATTATATGGATGGAGTAAATAAAACGAATTAAAAATACACATATATTCGCGTGCAACCCTAAACGAGACCTTCACGGCTAAATATGATGGCGTTTTGCCCAGAACACCCTAAATGAGACCAAAATCCGAAAATTTACACCCCTAAGCGAAACGACGAGCATCTCCACCACTTTCATATGCGGAGTCCCCCCCCCGGAAACAGGTTTTCTTATGAAACACGGGTGACGATTTTCCTGAAAGCGACAAAATTTTCTCCGTCAGTATTTACCGCTGTTAAGCCTCCAGCCGTGCGATTTTCTTTGACGATCCATCAGTGAGGAATCATGTAACTGGACAAGAGATGATAAGACTCGCAATCGAATTTAAACCCATTTCGGGCTTTCACTTTTTTCCCGCTTGTTTTTCTGTTCGCCCGTCCTGACTAACTGACTGCTTTATGACTAACATCATCTCTAACTTATATTTCAGATCATTATTCCTACGTCATGGACTTCAGCAGCAATTCTCAACGTTCCACTGTTTTTGACAATCTACTTCGATAAAGAAGTGAATTTCTGCATGGAATATTGGCCCAATGACTGGCTACCCAAGGCCTACAGTTCCACTTGGTTCTTTGTGGCTGGTATCATTCCTGTGACACTGATGACTGCTTTGTATTCCAGAGTGGTGTATTCTTTGTGGTTTAAGCAGCGTGAGAATAATTCCGAAAACACCAATCAGGTAGTTTTTGTTAATGACTGATATTAGGTCATGCATTTACTGAACATCGCTGCTCTTTGACTTAATTTGTCAGTTTCACTTTCGACGTATTATAGTGTATAATTTTAATGCTGCTTGATTATTCATCGTTTCAAGGAAAAAAGCCCATGAGAACCAAACCATAGCTATGACACCACAAAAATCTCATGATAATCAAATAACTCATGGATTTCAGTGACACAACTCTCAGGTATTAAGTGTCTAAAGTGGTTTTTACGTTCTTTTTAGGGTGTTATGAAAGTGCGCAAAAGAGTAACCAAGATGGTTTTGGCAGTTAGTGTTATCTACGGATTATGTTGGATGCCAAATCTGACGATATATGCACTGAATTACTTCAGTCCTTCTCAAAATTACGGAGACGTCACTTACATCACTTCCATTGTTCTTGTCACATGCAATTCGACAGTCAATCCCTTTATTTATGTATTTGTAAACCAGAAGTTCCGAAGGAAGATTAAGACTCTGCTGGGCTGTAAAATTACTTGCGGTTACAAGATTGAACCCGCCGTTAACTCAAGTCAAACTACAAATGATCAAACAAATACCGTCACCAACCCAACCTTGGCAGAAGAAACTTGCGCAGGAGACAATAACTGGGAATTAAAAGTTTAA